TGCGGTGGGAAGAAAATCAGTCCATTTGTCTGAATTTGAATCCCTAGCTGTACTCTAAGTTCCTAGGGAGAGGAAACCTCATGAAAATGGTTTGAGATTCACACTGAGGAGAAATATCTAGTTAAAGAAAAGCATTTCCTGACATTATCTGCTTTCCAATACCGGCAGCTAACACTGCTGATCACGCGCTCAATCAGAACTTCTTTCCATGCCTGATGTAGCGAGGTACACTCAACAGTGTGCCTTACAGGATAGCATCATCCCATCAATTTCACACGACCGCTTTCAACATTTCCTTTCCTCTGATATTAACTTACTCAATTCAATATCTTGTTTATCTACACAAATACGGCATGTATAAAAAAATGACTGCAGGCAAAACTTCCAGGGTTGTGTGCATCAGGAAAGAGGAATAAATCACTACGTGGGGCTTACAAAACAAACTGGCCGGTTACATTTTCTTTTTTTAACATAGTGTCTCCTAGAAGAATTGATTCCAGCAGAGGCAACTGTAAAGATACAACGACATAATAGGCCATGATTGAGTAATCAGCTTGCTTGTGATGCTGGCAAGAGTCGTTTCATCTGGCTACCCACTTGTCATCCAGAATTTTAAAAACATAACTAAATTGAGCTGAAAATTGTAGTTGATCCATTTCATTAGAGGCGATTTAACTTGCAAGCAGTGGCCGCAGTGCTCTGGGGTTCTGGTCCTGTGGTTTTATCGTATCAATTAACTGTCATGGGCGTTATTTTCTGTGTAGGTAAAGACAACGAAAGGCTGAGGTTTGTCATGGAAATGGATATGTCTGGGAGCCCTGTGTCTATCAGCTCAGGCCTACATACAATACTCACATGCCTACAATCTTCACATCTCTTATAAATTCCTAGCCATGGTACAGAAGGTTCTGGATTAATGAACCCTACGCCTTGCAGAAGAAACACATGGAGAGATTCTCTTGGTTCTGGCCTCAAGCCTTCCTGGTTAACACTTCCATAATCTTTGTTTACAAAGCCCATCCCCCGGATCTGGTGACTAGCAACTATGCTCCATTTATATAAAATATGCAAAAACAAGCAAAATAAAGTTTAAAAGGGGAATAGGTGTTTTTTTGGAAAGATATGAATGTAAACAAAATTTATGAAAATCATCTCCCCAAACCTTGCAATTAATCTTCTGAGGGTTCAGGTTTCTTTGATCAGCAATCACCGAACTTCAAATGTGAAGTGCTAATAAAAACAGATCCAGAAATAATCCAGCTAGAAAGCTTGAAAACAAAATGGGCACAGTCCCTACTAGAATATATCAAAATATTAATATACAAAGCATCAGTCAAGAACATTTATTCTGGAAAGATACTTGGGCCACTCTAAGAAGAGATGCCATAATCCCTAATCTCAAATAATTTCTAATATAAGAAGTCTGGACAATTGCACACAGATGGGCTTATTAAGTGACTCAAGGGTATAGATTTCCCAGTTATACGGGTTTGTGAAATTCAAGGTGCTTAATGGTTCAGTGGCAGGGAAGCATTGTTGGGCTCATGTGGAAAAATCTTGAAGATGGTGAGATCTGATAGAAATGCCAAGGTAATGGAGGTAAAGGTGGTAAAAATTAGTAGGTTGGTGAGGAGAAGGAGAACATAGGAATGTGTGAGTGACGGTCGAAGTTGTGGCAAGCATGAGCTGTTATTTCAGTCAGGCCACATCTCCTTCCCTGTGTCCAGCTACCTTTGTGTCCCACCAATGGCAGAGGGGGTAGGGCCAATCAGCAAGCCTGTATGCCAGCTTGGGTCTGCATCAGCCCAGAGGAAAAGGCAACTTCTTCCAATTTGTCTGCCCAGAGGAAGCACCTTTTGAAATTTGTCTATCTGCAGTGGGTTCCTGTTTGTGGCCCAAAGACCTCTTATGCAATGGCAGTGACCTGGTTTGAGAGTTCAATCATTCATGAATTGACTATAACAACTGACTCTCAGCTCATCTCCTCTGCCTCAAATATCTCTTTTTTATTCTACAGTCAGCTATTTGACTTATATGTCCTTGAGGACTATTTTGCCATCTTTAGGCAAGAATTGATAATGGCTTTCATTGGTCTTACATGAGACCCAGAATTTCGACAAGTTGTCACTGAACTGAGCCTACCACCTTCTATATTCACCCCTAACTCAGAATCTCCTTACCCGCCTAGTCATTTCATTGTGGTCACCCACACACAACTTCCTCCTCCACCCATGCATATTTTGCATTATTCCCTGTACCCTGTTTTGTCTCTTTCCTCTGCTCAGAAGATTAGAGAAGGACACGAGGAACTAAGCTTCTCATCAGTGGCAAAGAGAAGTTTGATCAAAACTAGCTTCCTTCAGAAACTTTCTCAGAGAGCCCATTTCATTTTGTTGGTCCTCTTTTTTTTTTTTTAATAATCAATCGACACAGTTGAAACAACAGTGGTTTGAACATCCTTTCATTAATATTAAAAGACTTCACAAATTCTTTAGGAGGAAGCCTAAATACTTTCTCATGACTGATGAAATTCCAGAGGATATTAAGGGCCAAGAGCAGTCTTGGTCACGGTCAGTATACACACATTTTCCTGTGTGTCTTGCCCCTGTAGTCTAGACAAGTTTCAAATTCAGAACAGCCAGTCTGGGACTATTTCATATTATGTCTCAGGTCCTGAGTGCAAAGGACAGGAGACAAGTGTTTCTTTCATTCAGCAAAGAAAGTCAATAGTAAATTCAGGTTTGACTCAGAACCCCTTTTTCCTCTCTGTTCAAAACATATCAAGTCCTGGATATGTGACATATTGGTTGACATTGTGTCATTTTTTGGGTGACTTCTGAGTACATGGTACTTGTCTGAAGATGACTGCAGGTAGACAAATGTCAGGGGAGGAGGCCCTGTGTTAGTGTGTGTAGAATATGAGATCCTGAAAACCTCTTTGGGATGTTATAAAAGAAGTCGATGGGTGCTAACAAAAGGATGCATAGCAGTTTATAAAAATCTCTGTCACAATCACCTTTCCCTTGACAGCTGAAATAAATTAAATCTGCTCCACATCTCATACCTGTCTCTCCACTTTAATCTCTACATTGATTTTTGACCAAACAGCCTTAAGACTTGAAATAATCAAATCACACCAGAGAAAACGCAACTGACCTGTTTTTGCTTTCCATATGACTTTTTTTTATTCAATTTTTACATATCATTCTTTTGAAAAGGAATTAAACCAAAACACACAGTGAACAGCTGCCATCTTCTGTCACTTACACTGTTTTTACTAATAGTCCCAGTTGATATGGTTTCAACCTGTCAACTGAATGTCAAAAAGCCATTTTGTGGGTGTTCAAAACACATGGAAACTAACAATACTGACCATTACGTTCAGTCACTTTCATTTTCAACATTGTTTATAGCTTATGTATAAAGAAAATGAATACTTTTATGTACGAAAGTTTGTCATGTTTGGACAAGAAAAGCCACTTTCATTAATTAGTAGGTGTCAAATAACTATACATCCTAAAAATCTATTACCTCCATTTCTCTGTTATGTAAGATGTTTATACTCACTTCTTCAACATATAATGGGCAAGATCTTATTTCATACATGTTTGAAAATGGTTCTTTATGATATTTTTCTGAATAAAACTTTTTCTTGCCTTGGTTTCTGAGACAAGACTGGTGACTGTTTTTATTCTTTCTTTTCCCTGGCCAGGTGTAAAAACCACTTCTGTAATGCAGGGTGATTTCAGGCAAGAAATATTTTCTATATATGTCTGAAGGAATAGAGTCAACATTTAAAATGAAGAATCTCTTTTAATTTCTTTCTCCCCCAAATAGTCCATCAATCCTTTTTGCATGGGGTTCTAAGAACAATATACAGAGGGTGCCCAAAAAATGTATATACATTTTAAGAAAGGAAAAAACTATATTAAAATTACACTGATGGTAACCACTTTGAGCACCTCTTATAATTGCAGAGGTCAAATGTGATTTGTATTCACCTTTTGTTATTGGTATATATTATTACAATTTTCATACAGTTATTCCTTTTCTTAAAATGTGTATACATTTTTTCGGCACCCTCTGTGTGTCTCACCCCCAGCTCTCACTGTCACTAGAAGGAACAAAGCAGGCTTGATGTGGTCCAAGGTGACTACACAGATGCACGAAAAACAGCTCTTCTCTTCACAGAGTGCTGCATGAAGCCTTTTCTTCTTCCTTTCCAGAGCGGGAAGAAACATCAGTCTGCAGTATGAGTGGTCCAAAGGGACAGCCAAACCTTAGGAAGCCTTGATTCTACAATCTACACACAAGCCAAGGCACATGAGCTGGCTGGAAGCATACGAGGGAGAAAAACAGATGGCAGGGAGGGAGGCAGTGAGGAAGGGAGAGAGGGAGGGAGGAAGAGAGGGAAGGAGGGAGGGAGGGAGGGAAAGAAGGAAGAAAGAGAGGGAGGGAGAGCTTCAACAGCTTCAAAACCAGTCTCTTTCTGCCACCAGGTCTGAACATGGCGGCGGGTCTCAAAGCTCCCATATGGCAAAGCAGCAGCCACATCATCAAGCATTCATTAAATCCCACCCAACTCAACACTTATTCAGCAAATAGTACCATCTTGTTATTGCTGAGGATACACAAGGATCTTAAAACCTAGTCATCACCCTCAAAAAGTTTTAATGCAATTGAAAAAAATGGGAGTTTTACAGGTGAAACTTATAGGCATTCGATAGCATATATTTTTCTGGCTCGCTGATTTTTTTTTTTTTATTTCAGGACTGTGTGGCAGATCAAGAAAATGGGGGGAATAAAACCTATTATTGTTAAATCTGTGATGGATGGATTAGCAAGATAAAGAAATACTGAATACAAACATTCAATAGCTGAATTCGATCATTAAAAAATATTTTGAACAGCAAAGCTGTGAAAAAAGACAACAGAAAACCAACCACTGTGGTTCGTTTTTTTCCATTGTTGACACCTACAGACGTCTGTCACCTACTCACCATCAGTTACGGTCAGTCTTGTCACGACGGTTTCGTTTTCTCCTGGGCTGCCCTCGAAGCTGCAGCGATACAGCCCTGAGTCAGAGGCCGTGACGTGAGGCATCGTGAGGACGGTCCTGTTCAGCCCCTGGCTGCAGTTGCTCAGCATTTGTCTCGGGTACCGTGAGGTGTAACTCCTTCCTTGGGACAAGTTGCAGGTACTCAAGCGGTCGATCTGATGGGACCGGAGCTTTTCCCACATAACTTGCTGCACCGGCCACTTCATCTGAAGCTCACATGTAAGAGTGATATCTTCTCCAGGTGCTGAGACCACGTATCTATTTGATGAAACATTCACCTCGAAATTATCTGGAAAGAAGAAGCAACTGATTACGCTTAGGTCCTCAAGTTTTTCCATACAAAGGTAGATGCTACCCAGAAAATTCTGTCACAATGATTGGTGATGTTATTTTGGATCGTCTCATCGATTATAGATGATATCTTCACACCACACTTTTGTACGAAAAAGACTTTTGGCAGAATATGTTCACACATATTCGCTTCAGGTTAACTTGATTAACCATATAACAAGAAACATAATCAAAACCCCGGGTGTTTTTTTTGGTAGTGATCATATCAAGGGGCCGTTCTGCATGAACGCTAAGCCAGTGACTCACACACTGACTCTGAGGATCAAATATCTAGATTGTAATCATATCACCTAGGATTTTAATGGTCTTAAAAGGGATAGCAAATCATTTTCGCTCAATACATACATAAACCCATTTTTCCAATGTATGCTGTTTTATGCTTAAAGTATGGACCTACATGTCCTGTGAATGCCTGGGTACCAAGAAAGTCCTCCAGTACTCGTCTACCTTCCTCCCACCACAGCTGGGATACTCAGCACACAGCACTCACTGCATAATCACCAGAGATCTATTATAAATCAGCAGCTCTTATAGCTTTGGCTGAAGACCCAAGTGGGTCCCTGTATCCCTGTCTGAGATCTGTACAAACCAATTTCAACAGTCATATAAAGATGTAATTTACCTTTAACTCTTATTCTATAAGAATATATAGTAGATATTTTCAGTCTATGATGACTAATGGGATATGTGCTTGTAAATTCTGGTCTTTCAAATTTTGCATGATTTTAATTTCTAATACAGTAAATACTGATAGTTATAATCCACCCAAGCAAAAACTCTTTGGGGGTCCTCAATAATTTTTAACAGAATTAAGGGAGAAAACAATTTTAAAATTCAGTAGAACCACAAAAGACCACACAAAGACAAAACAATCTTGAAAAAGAAGGACAAAGCTGGAGGCATCACACATCCTGATTTTAAACTATACTGCAAAACTACAGTAATTAAAACAGAATGGTACTTGTCACCTTGCAGCTGCCGACTCGAGTGCTTCCGCCCGCGCACTGATCCTTTGAAGTCATAAGGGAGTGTCTCGGAATGCTGAGACCGGAGGGAATAATCTCGGTAAAGCTTCCTTATCTGATGGTCTCGAAATGCTGAGTCCATCCATACGGATCATACGTATGTGTGAAAGCACAACTTGTGTTTGATTACAACGAGTTTGGGTGAAGCAGTTGCTAGACACATCGAATCAACAGACTGGGTTAAGATATCCAAATTTACTTCTTTGTGGCAGTTGAGAATAAAAGCTTTGCGCCCACCAGAATTGGGGCTCAGTCCACAGAGACTTGAGACCCTTGGCCCACAGTAACTCTAGACTTGACTCTTGTATTTCTTAACCCTTCACAGCCCCTCCTTGAGCTCCCCAGCCCTTGTCACAAGAGACGTGATAGGTACTGACAAAAAAAAGACAGAAATACAGACCAATGGAAGAGAACAGAAAGCCCAGAAATAAATCCATGTGTACATGGTCAACTGATCTTCAACAAGAGTGCCAAGAGCACACAGTGGGATAAAGATAGTCTTCTCAACAAATGTTGTTGGGAAAACTGGATATACACATCACAAAAGAAAGAAATTGGACCCTTACATTACACCATACACAAAAATCAACTCAAAATGGATTAAGGATTTAAATGTAACACCTGAAACTGTAAAACTCCCAGAAGAAAACAAAGGAGAAAGTTTCATGACATTGGCCTTGGCAACGATCTCTTAGACATGACACCGAAAGTACCAACAACAAAAGAAAACATAAACAAGTGGGACTACATCAAATTCAAAAGCTTCCTGCCCAGCAAAGGAAACAATCAACAGAAATGGCAACCTACAGCATGGGAGAAAATGTGTGCAAACTATATATCTGATAAAGGTTAATTTCTAAAATATATAAGGAATTCCTACAACTCGACAGAAAAAAAAAATCCCAAACTACTCAATTTAGAAAATGGGCTAACGAATTGAATGGACATTTCTCTAAAGAAGACATACAAATAGCCAAAGATATATGAAAAGATGCTCAATGTCACTAGTCATCAGGGAACTGTAAATCAAAACCACAATGAAATATCACCTCACATCTGTTAGGATGGCTATTATAAAAAAAAAAGAGAAGACAGTTGCTGGCAAGCATGTGGAAAAATTGGAATGCTTCCATACTGTAGGTAGGAATGTAAAATGGTACAGTCTCTATGGAAAACAGCATGACAGTTCCTCAAGAAATTTAAAAATACAACTACCATATGACCCGGTAATCCTATTTCTGGGTATTCATCCAGTAGAACCACAATAAGGAACTCAGAGAGATATTAGCACCCCTACATTCGTTGCAGTACTATTCACAATAGCCAAGACATGGAAGCAACCTAAGTGTCCATCGATGCATGGATAGATACAACATGGTATATAAAGATTACGATGGGATGTTACTCAGCCTTAAAAAAGAAGGAAATCCTGCAATATGAGATGACATGGATGAACCTGGAGGACATTATGCCAAGTGAAATAAACCAGTTGCAAAAGGACAAATATAGTGAATCTCATAGAAGCAAAGGATAGAAGCATGGTTGCCAGAGTCTGAGGGAAAGAAGAAATGGGGAGCTGCTAGTCAATGGGCAGAAAACCTCAGTGACACAAGATGAGTAAGTTCCAGAGAGCTGCTGGTCAACACAGCGCCTATATACCGGGGTGCCAAATAAATGCATACGCATGACTTGTATTCATCCTCCGTTATCGGTATATATTTAGTACCACAATTTTAATACAGCTTTTTCCTTTCTTAATATGTGTATACATTTTTTTGGCACCCTCTGTAGACAACAATACTGTTTGTACACTTAAAAATCTGTTAAGAGGTTAGATCTCATGTTAAATGTTGTCCTCACATTACATTTTTTAAAAGAATATAAAGGGATCCCGAGGCCAAATAATTTAAGAACCTGATCTAGAGAATAAACTTCAGAAATTACTTCTCAAAATTACGAGAGGCCAGAATGGCAACATGTCAGGCTATTTGGTAGTCATTAACACCTTTTTAATGTGACAGCTTTACTGCTGCTGTCGCTAAGGAATTCTAACCTACTGCTTACATCCCCAGGGCAGTAATGATGTCACAAAGCACAGGGGCACTAGACAAGAAGGAGAAAAAGCGAAACAGCATCTGTCCCGGCCTCTCTGGGTCACAGATTTGCTCAAGACTGGCCTGGGCGCCACTTCCATGACTTCCAATAAAAAGGACAAGAAGAGTAGAAAGGAGAGGAGAAGAGAAGCCACACTTGAAAAAGAGAGAAAAGTGAAGTCTAAAACACAGTCCAATTTGTTATCTATATTCAACTAGAGTGCTGCATCTAGTAATAGCTTCACCTCCACCAAAAACGCACGTTTCTTGGGCTGGCCGAGTGGTACGTTGGTTGAGAGCTGGCTTGGGACAGCAGAGGACCCCAGTTCAGATCTCACATATGAGGGCCGGTGACACTGCCCTCTACAGCTAAGATACTGAACAACAGCTCGACTTGGAGCTGGGCTGCCATGAGTTCCGGGAAGGTGTAGGCTGCAGCCCTTGCTGCAGTGGGTTGCCATAAGCTACCGTGTGTAGCCAGCAGCCAGCGTGAGCGGCCAGCAGCCGCAGTGAGTGGCCGTCCAGAAGCCGGCGACTGATCTGCCTCACCCGGGAAGAGCGCAATGATGGTGCCAACTTGGGCCAGTGAAGCAACGTCCTCCACAGCTAGACTGAAGAACAAAAGGACAGCAACTTGTCTGTTCCCCTTCCCTCAATTCCCCAATAAAAATCTTAAAAAAAAAAAAAAAAACTAAAAAAACTCGTGTTTCTTCAGCAAGCAGTTCCATGTGTCAAAAAAGCTGTTGGAGAGAGAAAACCACAGCGCTCCAGTTTTTCAATCTGCAGCCATGCAACCATTTACTGATGCTAACACTTTCCCCACATGACAAGCATACGGGAAGCAGCTCACCTCTAAGTAATGAGCCAACACAAGGACATGACACAAACAGGAGGAGAGGAAGAAAGGCCGTAGGAAATGGGAAAAGTAAGAAAACTTAAAGCTTAAAGGAAACAAAGGCAACATTAGAATAAAGTTAAGACAGGGAAAAGAAGGCATGAGAAAAGAAGAAGAAATGAGGGACAATATAAATAAAAGGCGAAATTAGGTGCTGATAGCACACCGTGTTGGGAAAATGAAAGGATGGAAAGAAATGACAAAAAGAAAGAGTCAGATTTTGATGTGAGCCGTGGCAAACCCCGGAAGGAAGAGGCAGGCTTGCCCTCGCTACAGTTTTGATGTTGGTCTTCAGGGCTGACACACCTGTTTTGCTGTCCTCTGTAGGTGCCACTCTCCTCCCATCTCGGAGCCTTTCTTTACCTGCCTGTCTCACCAAAACCTGCTCTCAGGAGGTTTTGTTGTCCTGGGTATAAAGTAGGGTCATCTCTGAGGAGTGTCTGTATTTGCACAAAGGACCAGCCCACAAAAATGGCTGGGCCAGGAGGTCTCGATGGGCAGTGCTTGTAGGAGCAGGGTGCGGGGAGGTCTGCACAGCACAAGGCTCCAGGTAAGGATACAGACCTACCTGTCAACAGACACAGACTGAACCTGGAAGCATCAGGCCCCCCTCCAGAGGCCAGCGGTTTGGAAGCATAGAGTAGCCCCCATTCACCTTTCCTGACGAGCAGAATAGCTCCTTGGTGACTGATGAGACCCAGACCCGGACGAGGTCTGCAGCATTAGCCTCTGCCTTGCCTCTCGTGCTGTGTGCTCGGCTCAGGTCACCCAAGCCTCCTGCTCAGCACCTTTAAGGCCACCCACAATGACCTGAAAACGACTGGGGAGAGCCCACATGCACACGGGGACCCTGGCATCCAGACGTGTTTGGAACTGGAAAGTGATTCTACCGAAAATAGGGATCAGATATTGCAGTTAACGGG